CTTATAACACAAATCACGGCGGGAGGGGCACCTGCTTGTTTCTTCTCGGCGGCGGTACCGCTGCGCTGGAGGATTTCGAGGTCGACGAGGCTGAGAGACATGAGGCCGAGCGTGAGGCCGGACATGAGGCCGGCGAAGATGACGAGAAAGCAGGAAATGCCGGCGTAGACGAACCAGGTGACGGTCCCGTACGGTATCTCGTCGCCGGACCCGGATTGGGACATCGTCGAGACCATCCTCGTCGCGATCACCGCGTAGAGAGGATGCATCTCTCAGCGGGAAGAATGTTGATGATTCTTGCGTATGGATCCCCCTTTTTCTGGCTTCCGGTACGTTCTGTTTGATCGTGTCCGTTCGAATACGTTCCGTGGCGCGGAGGAGGGAAGGTTCTGACTTCTGTGACCGGATGAAGGACGGCCGGAGGTGGAGACGAAGGATAGAGACAGAGAGGAGAAAGGTGAGAACTGAGAATATTGCAAGGGATGGATGATTGGATTCAGTATTTTACCAGTGTAAGGGCACGTGGCCGACTGCCGGGGGGGCGGGGATAAATTGAAGTAACTGGAAAAATGGGCTTAATGCGTAAATGGCCACCAAACTATGATGTATTTGCAATAATGGTAACTAAATTTTCAATTAATACACTATTCTCTTCATTAATGAAAATGTCTGGGATTTGATGCAGCTGAATGATGCATGTGAATGATGCAGGTGATGCGTAAATTCTCCTCTAAGGCTCTAACTATGTTTCCTGCCATTAGTATGGTTATTTTGATAGGATAGACAACCTCTTTAGTGGGTTTGGTTTGCAACAACCAACTTTGTTTGCAAGGGTGAGAGATCACAGATCGATTACTGATTTCGAGTTAGTGCTTCCTTTTGTTTCCAAACTTCCGGTGCCAAACATTTTGCCAATGTCAGTATCCACACATGTTTCTGGAGTGTTTTGTACTACAAATTGGGACTTGAAGTAGTGTGGAACCATATTTACACTTGTCGTGAATAGTCTCAATGATGCGGAGCAGAGCACAGAATGCAGAGTGTCAACACTGATGAAGATCCAAGTGGCTGGGACCCCTGTCTTACTTTCATGAAAAGCTTACACAAGAGAAGTCTGCAAAGAATGAAGGTTGACTCCATGTCTCTGGAGCCTCTAGATTCTTCACTTTCCGTATGATATCGTATATTGGCTTTCATTGGCCACTGTTCTCTGCTCAATGCTGCTATCTGCTTGGCTTTCTCTCTTTGCTTCTCATACACAGAGGAGCCGGAGGTTAGTGCAAAGAGGGCAAAAGTAGGGAAACAACGGAGAGACTGTTTGATGAGCAGCAGAGCTCAAGTGAAGAAGAAGATGAGATTAGTGCATCGGATCAAGAATAAGATGGAGGAAGGAAGCAAGATGAGGGCGATGAAGTAGATACTCCATTAAGGTCACTGAGACTTTCAAGAGATGAAAATAGAGCTTCAACTTCCAGAGCATCAGGTATAACTAGTGCCCCTACTGATCTGTTATTTCATGTTTGAATTGAAGTCATTGCTTGATCACTTGGGCTCTATTACCTGGTTTTTGCAGGGTCGGCAAGTAGGTAACGTGGGATGGAAGTAACCGAGTCTCCAACGTTGTACAGGGTGGAGTAGTGGATTTTGTACATCCTCCCTGACATAATGAACAATAAGCAGACCTTGTAACTTCCCAATATTAGTGAAATACATAAATGCATCCTAGGAGATTGTTAACGCTTGCTACAGTGCGATATATACTTTTATGGTTTGATACTTATGCTTTCGGCTCAGATTCGGTCTGTAATCTCCAGTGCTTACATTCCTTAACCATTTGGGACCATAATAAACCTGCTATGGACAGGTAAACCTTAATACAATCTGCGAAGCTTTCGACGAATCGCAGCTTACATTGCTCGAATATATGGTCAGAACTTATAAAAGCTTACTGCATGCACTGTGGCTAGTAGAAAAACATCGACACTGGCTAGAAAGCAAAAGAAAAACCGTTAATGGGAAATCAAAGTGTATCGAAAGCCAAAGCTACAAAACCCATCTTCTGCCAGCAATTCTCAAGAATGGAGAAATGACGCCCTGCATTTCTTGCAAGGACTGTTGTATCATAATCTCCTCATCTACCGACCTCTTCGAATTTCTCACTCGAACCTTCAATTCCTCCTAAACCAAACAACTCCAGCTTACTCTCCCGCTTGCAACCAATGAAATTAGCTTAAACTGGCCACACAACACGTGAAGAATCAGGCACACCAGCAGAGACAGCAACCACAATCCAATCAATCTTACGTGGTTGCTGCTGCTGTTGCAAGGGAAAGCACTGCCGCTGAAACATCCTTTCTTCTGCTTAACCCCTTGCCCACGTTCCTCCAACACAAACGTGGAGTTCGTCTCTCCATCGCTGAACAGAACGCACCAAAAGCAAGGACCCTTTCTGTAATCTCCCAGCTTCACTGTTGTTCGATTCTTGTTTATGATTGCCACGGTCTCGTTGGCAGGGTTTCCTGCAACATTAATTGAATGAATGATCAGTATCGAAGGACAATGTCCAGTTTGGATATTGTACTTGCCTCAATTCCTTTCAGTTTCTCGAAATGACAGCAAACGGTAGCTTCAACAAATTCATCTCTACTAAACCAAGTAGCAAGAGTGGAGATCTCTACTAAACCAAGTAGCAAGAGTGGAGACAAGCTAACAGCAACCGTACTGCCTACTGATTAGAGTGTTCAAGTTTATCAGTCAATTGGAGAGCATGCAGCTTACGGCATTTTGCAAGAGTTTGTGCAGAGAACTCCCAGAATGTCAATCACAGTTAAAATTCAACCTTCTGGAGCACTTGCAGTTTATTGAATACAAATCCAAAGGTCTCTCTTTTACTGTCTACTCGATCATAAAGAACACAAAATGAGCACTTGTAGGCCACAACAAAAAATAGCAAACCAAGGGAAAGCACCGGAGAGCTGAATATTCAGAATCAACTGCACCAGAATATTTTATCTCATAATGAGCACCAGAACAATTTGCTTGCCAAAGACACTCATCAAATTATCTCATCCACGAACCTTGATCAAGTATTCACCAAACCAATCACCCATGTGAGGTAGCATTTATCATATTAATAGTTTTGCAACAGTAGATTCCCCTCTAATACCATAATTCCCTTCTAATAACCTATTGATAATAATCTGACCAAATATAAATAGTACGAGTGACTGGACTAATATAGCAATCTTAATTGCTTTCTAGGGCAACCACAAGGCTGTTTTCTTTGAAGAAAGCAGCGTAAAAGGTTGTCCAAAAAGAATAAACATCATTTAGCAAGTAAAGCAGGTGCAGAGCTAAACTTCTATTCTGCTTCCAAAATCACATCAACACCTTCCGAAAGTCAGACTTGGCTAAGTAGTTACCAAGAAGAACGACTTCAATGGGACAATATTGAAAATCCATCTTTATTTCTTCCAGTCTTTAGAAACTAAAAATCCAAAATATCTTGCAAATAAAACAAAAGCCACTGAACATTTGTAACCTTCTACCCTCCATTTCCTAGGTTGAGGACAAGATGCAGCAAAACAGTAGTATTGATAAAGCATCATGGAACTTAACATTTCATTTTCCTCAATTCGTTAACCAACATACGATCACCACCTTCATTAGAAGCAGCATAATCATTAGCTCTGAAAACATAACAAAAACACGAGCTTCTAACAATTTGGAGCAGTATGAAGTAGGCAAGAAAAAGATGTTGTTATGCGTTACAATGAGGTCTCCTGATTATATCAAATGTTCCACCACGATACCAACGCTTGCTAAAGATTCTAGAATTTTGATCAGTCATATAAAATGAGATCGAGGCACGCAAGGTACAATAAAGAATAAAACTGGGAGTAACTCCCAAGTTGCCGTATATTCTAAGGCCAACAGACCTCCTGTTTTGAGGACACCACAGTTCTTAGATACAGGCAGAGCAGAACATCTCCCATGCAGATTTCCATAAAAAAACATACGGATTCACCATCAACATCCTGCTATTCCCAATATACATGTCCGTCAAATAATCTTAGTTCCATCTCTATGCATCCACATAAAGCTCGAGTTGTGGAATTAGTAACATGGTCACAAGTTCATGAACCTAAAGATACAAGCTATCCTTATATATGTTTGTCAACTACCATGTCACTCTTAGTTACATCTCTCTAGTCATCTAGAAAAAGCTTGAGCAGTGGAATGAGTAACATGGTCACCAGCTCATGAAGTAAAAAGAACCAAGAGCAACATAAAAAAACATTATCATGAACCCAGGATAGGCAATAACCAGACCTAATTCTACAGAAGACATGCATAAAATAATTCCAAAAAATTCAGTGACATGAACTAGGCATTCGTGTGATGGCCTTGGAATTTCATTATTCCTAGTCGCCGCCATTTAGAATCCTTCCTCAGAACAGTGATAATCATAAGGAAGCGGCATCAAGAACTATTATAGAGGATTGAATCAAGTTAACAAGACATCATAAGAAATGCATCGAGAGTAGACCGACAACCAGATAACCAAAGCCTACTTTTGTAGAAGATATGCATAAGTAGTCCCACAACATACAATCACAGGACTAGGCATTCATGTGCTTAACCTTGTAATTTATTGTTCCTCGTCACCATTTACAATCCTTCTTCCACACTGATAAATAAAGGCATCAAGGACTATCCCAGAGGACTGAATATACTACCAAGACATCATAACCTTTGCTTTCGGAGTAGAAGGGCAACGAAAATCCAAGATCTTGGCAACAACACTATACTGTGATCAAGCTCCCTTCTAATACTTCAAACTTAATCAACTCATTTCAATGTACATGGAGTAGAGTTTATTTTGGTATACCATACCCATGCAGTAGTGATCATTACTGAGGGCAACTAGATGAATCCAAAGTGGAGCAGAAGGGCAACTAGATTGAGTAACTAATCATCTTATTATAAGCATTGAACCAACATTGGACAAGGTATTTTAGAATCTATCTATGATGATACTCAATACTCAAGTTCCCTCCTAGGACTCCATAAAATACTTTATGCATACTAAATGCTTTCACAGTTGATAAATCCAAGGTGGAGCAGAAGGGCAACTAGATTGAGTAAACTCAAGTTCCCTCCTAGGACTCCATATAAAGTACTTTCTGCATATAAAATGCTTTCACAGTTGATAAATCCAAGGTGGAGCAGAAGGGCAACTAGATTGAGTAAACTCAAGTTCCCTCCTAGGACTCCATATAAAGTACTTTCTGCATATAAAATGCTTTCACAGTTGAAAAATCCAAGGTGGAGCAGAAGGGCAACTAGGTTGAGTAACTAATCATCTTATTGCAAGACATACCCGAACCCAGCTTTCATATAAGCATTGAACCGACAAGGACAATGTATTTTCAGGGTCTATCTATGATATAGTACTCATTCTCAATTAGTTCCCTTCTAGGACTCCCCAATGGACTGTTAGTTAAACAATAGATTGAAAGAGCAGAAGGGCAACTAGATTGAGTAACTAATCATCTTATTGCAAGACAAAATCGGACTCAAGTTTCATATAAGCACTGAACCGGCATGGCAGAAGTATTTTCTGGGTCTATCTATGATATAGAGTACTCATTTTCAAGTTCCCTTCTAGGACTCCGCAATGGACTTTCAGTTAACAATATATCTCAAGAGGAGCAGAAGGGCAACTAGATTGACTAAGCATCTTATGGCAAACTCGAACCCAACTTTCATACAAGCACCGAAACCGACATGAACGATTTATTTCAGGGTCTATCTATGACATAGTACTAATTCTCAAGTTCCCTTCTAGGACTCCATAATGGACTTTCAGCTTACAATATATTTCAAAAGGAGCAGAAGAACAACTAGAATGAGTAGATGACCATTTCAATAGCAAGGCAGAAGCGGTCACAAGTTAGTGAACAGGATCTTTTTAACCTCCAACAAGCATATTATGAGTCAAAACAACAAACGTTACAGAACCAAGGCAACAATTTATCTCAGTATCTTTATAGGACACTCATTAGGGGTTTCCATGTGCAGAATACAACAGCAAAGTAGCGACAAATCAGCATCTCAGGTCAAGAACCAAAATATAGAAGCTCTAGCCAAAAAAAGAGGGGCGTAATTAAAGTTACTAGACAACTCTGGCCCAGGCAACATATAATGGTCAATATGATATGCAAGTCTCTGGACATAATCATCCTTGGAACAAATTTCACTCTATTCATGGCAGCATATTTCTAGGAAATCAAGAGAGTCTAGTGAAACCCCACACTATGCTTATTTGCAAATCGAACACAAGATCCCATGATTTGATCAATCCAAGCCGAGAGGATTTAGGAAAGCAACGATAACAATCTAACACCCACGGTGAGCATGATAGAATAAGCAGTAACACCACAATAATGGTTACTATCTACCAAAGCAGTAATTAGAACAAAAGGCAAGCACAAGTCACCCAATTTCCTCGTAGGTGGAAAAGAAGGGGGAGTAATTACCAGACAAGATCGGGTCATATTTCCCGAAGACGTTAAACCCAGCATGCGATCGATCGGCGAACATCGGATACCAAAAACCCTAACCCGCTGCCTTAATCATGGCGAAACTCAGTGAATTTTCAAAACCCTAACCCGTTGCCTTAATCATGGCGAAACTCCGTGAATTTCCACGGCCTTCCGTTGAACGGGAAACCATTCCGGCCTCAGAAACTTTAACAGAATAGGACGAAAGCAATTTTGCGATTCCATATTTCTAGACAAGGCGCAAAAGAAATCAGACTAGGGAAGTACCAAACTAGAAAATTCTGACGGAGGTGGACCTTACAACGAATGAAGCTACTTCTCTGTCGCCACCAGACCAGCCCTTGAGGCGGTTGCCACAAACCTAGAGCCGTTGCCGTTGAAAACTGAAAAAGAAAGAACGCGTTGTCTCAAGTCCGGCTTCCTCTGTTCCTATTTATAGGGTGGGGAATTTGGCATGGCTTGAGTCGGTTATATGCCTCCTTGCCAGCTGGACTGGCAAACTCAGCTTTCTCTTGCCAGCTAGACCATCCAATTAATGCCACGCATTTTATATTTTAACTGACGCGTCCGACTCTATTTAGAGTCCAATACAATCCCGGCCCACATATCATTTCAACTCTAAGCGGCCCAAAAAACCTTTAAACAATGGCTTATAAAGGATAGACAGAGCAAGTCGTTATTTGAGTTGGGCCGGTGATAATAAGCATAACCATAATCCAAATTTTAGCCACCTGACCTCCTTTTTCTTTTTCTCGTTTTTATTCTTTATTTTGAGCATTTTTTTTTCCCCCTCTTTTCGGTGCGGTTCGCACTTTGAAAAAATGGTCGCTAGTTTTTAACCAATTTGTGGCTAGCACTTGATTGAATTACATAACTATTACTAGATGTGAGCCCGCCCGTTGGACGGATGGATTTTGTCAATGGAATAAATAATAATAGTAATTTTTCGAAGAAAGACATGTTTTATTTGATATCGTTTCAAATATCTAAATTATTTTATTACTAAAAGACATGGTAACCCGATTTATTGACAAACGTTCTTATGGGAAGTACAAATAAAAACCATGCAAGAAAATTGGCTTCTAAAACTTAAGATTTAAGAAGACCACACTATTTGCTCCTCGCTTTTTAAACTACTGCAAATTTCATTTTGTGGAGTTTTTTGTTATTGTTCCGCCATCAAAAGTATCATCATCTACACCAATCACAATGCCTTAATCTTCCTTAACGAAGCCTTTATCTTCACAATAGGCTCTTCCTTCTTCTTCTTTTTAATATGAATTTCACTGAAAGCCAATCTTTAATGGTTAAATGTATGAAAATACTAAACATTAATTTTCCCGCAATAAAATTTATTTCGTTCGAGTCGTAAATATTTTTTGAGATTTGTTCTTTCCTTTTTAAGTAACCAAATGGCAACACATAATTTGATAACTAATAGATTGAAAACTTAATGACTAACACATAGGGGTATTTACAGTTCTCTAATAGATATGTTTTTTATTATATAAAGAAAAAAAATTCTTTTTAGTTGGCAACTCTATTTTAACTCTGAGTTATATGAATTAATTTATGAAATGTAATATGGCAAGCAATAATGCTTGTAAGGTCCAACAATATGAGAAAATTACAGTAATTGATCAAAATGGACATATAAATTTGTTCCTATTACCAAAATGGTTACAAACGATTAAAACATAATAAAAATGTAGAATCTCCTTATATTAGTGTTGAGATTTTTGTATATTTAACAATGTTTTGCTCTTCCTCTCTAGTATAACGATGGTTTTTCATATAGAAACCTAGTTTAGGTTTTACTGGAAACGTAGGGGTTCCAAGTGCTTTCAAATAAATATATTAGATTAGTGTTTTCGGAGTCTGAAGAGGATTAGTGTTGTGCTTTCATCTGACTTGAGTTGAAGAACGAAGTGATGTCGTTGTGGAGATCCGACACACTTACCGTTACTTGGATAAGGCCAATCAACTAAAAACATGTGACTGTATTTGAATTACAGTTTCACAATTTAATATTTTTTTGTTTTCGTGAACATTAATCTTCTTCAGCTAAGTATAAAGCTAAATTGTTTTTTTTTTTTTTCGTGAACATTACTCTTCTTCAGCTAAGTATAAAGCTCTCTGGAGAGATCATTTCTCTCCTGCAGGTTCACAGTTACACCTTACATTTCTATAAACCCTAAGTCCTAACTACCCTGAAGCTTTTCTTTGCATCCACAATAGTGTTTTTGGCTTGGAAAGAAATCAAAGAATACACAATGATTAATTGCAGTCGTGAGAGACATAGAGGATAATAGCCATCAATGGATTAAAGTGGTAGTGATAGAATTGGGATATACAACGAGCTGCCTAATTGCCATACAACTCGTGATGATCGAACTCACTTACCTTCTTCACCGCTGATAATCAAAACCTGAAATGAGCTGCTGTTTTATTCCTGTCGATTTTGCAGGAACCAGGCCTTGCAATGGTAACTAGGACGAACCTGCCATCAAAGAACTGGACCAGAAACACAAACAAAACTTTGAGCCAAAAATGATGTAATGAACGATGATCAATGGACACACACACACTTGGTTCTTTTTTTCCCCCCAATATGAATTCAATCATGAATTACCTTTCCATTCATTCCTTCCACAGCGAGATCGGCAGACGCTTTGCTAGCAAACCACACATAAGCGAATCCCAGTGACTCCATCGTTCGCTTGTCCACTATGATTTTCACTGCAAACCCAAAATCCTTTAGGAAAATTTCCCATCCCCAATCTGAATTGAAAATCAAGCCTCTCTCACCTTGGCTGATTTCTCCGAACTGGGAGAACACCGTTTTCAGCCGTACCTCGGTGGTCGATAGAGACAGTCCTTTGATGAATACGATGGTCGGCGGCGACGGAGAGGGTTCTACGGGTGAGCTGTCGGAGACGGCGGAGCAGCTGTGAGGATTGGGATTTCTGGTTCTGCGGAGTGAAATTTGAAACTGGAGGGGAGGGAAAGTTGGGGGTTTCTGAAGGGGAGACCGGATTGCGATGGAAAGAAATCGGGCTGCGGGTTGAAGAAGAGAGGGAGGTCGGAAAGAGGTCGGACGGGACATCGCCGCCTGAGACAGGCCGAGCACTCCGGCGAAGATAAGAAGCTGTGTGACAGTGTGAGTGTGGTGAGCTCCGAGAAGGTTTGATTTGACGGCACAGGGAGGATAATTAGGATGAGCGTGCCACGACATCAGTTTTCCTTTTGGGCCCGCCTTTTCCTTCGATGTGTTAGCCTGTAGGCTTTTAGGCCCATGATACTATTGTGTATCTGATATCAAGGAAAAGAGGCCCAATATGTATGCCTCGTTTTCGTTTCAAAGAACCCAACTCTTACTGATCGGGGACACGGGAGATACATCGAGCAGTTGGTTACGGATATTTTTGGATGGGTTAATCTACACAATAAATAAAAGTCAAATGAGAAAACTTGAAGGCCAATTTTAAGTCAGCGTATCACCTGACTGTCACGCTTGACAAAAGGAGGAGAGGGTGAAAATCGACTGTGAGCTGGATGGATAAAAAAAGTTGGATTCGACTCTGGGAGGCGGATATCCCTCCTAAGCTGAAGGTGTTTGTTTGGCAGATCCTTTCTCGAGTCTTACCTACTACTGAAGCCCTCATCGATCGTAAGGTCCAGGTAAATCCCCGTTGCCCGGTGTGCTGGGATAGCTCTGAAACGATGGAACACCTCTTTCTTTATTGTCCGGTAGCGCGGGCCTTATGGGATTACTCGGGCCTGGAGTATCTGGGGGAGGGGTTGCCTCGTCAAACTTTTCCGTTGTTTCTTAAGAGGCTCTTGGCTCTGATTAATCAACCCTCGATGTTTATGGCGGTGGTAGCTATTCTCTGGAGAATTTGGCGATCTCGGAATTGGGTGGTCTTTGAAGGCAAACAATTCGGGATCCCAGTGCTGATACGCCAGTTTGTCCAGCAATATGAGGAATGGGTGAGACTGCCCAGAGATCGCGGCATGCAGGCCCCCCGGACTGAGCTTGGACAGCAACTCCCTGCGGATCCTCCTCGGATGGTCTGTCGCTGGGACGGTGCCACGAGGAGTGGTTCTCATTCTGCAGGGGGTGGTTCTGTTCTACCCTAATGGGGGGGGGGTCAATATGGTCAGAAGTTTTCAGTTTCCTGCCATAGACAACCCCCTGTTGGTAGAGCTCCTTGCGCTCAGGGAGGCTGTAGCTTGGTGTATGGGGTTAGGGTTCACGGATATTAGGTTTGAGGGGGATGCCAAAGTTATCATTGACAAGATTAATACAGGTGACCATAGTGATAGTCGAATGGGTGTTGTTCTTGAGGAGATTGTACAATATTTTCATATCCATTCGGGGCTTAGTATTCGGTTCATAGGTCGGCGTAGCAATAGGGTAGCCCATCTGGTGGCTAGGAAAGCCCTTTTCTCTATACCCGACCATGAGTCGTCTCTTTGATTTTCAGACCTGGCTGATTTCCAGGGTGTAACTTCTTCTTTTGGATCAATATAAAGATTATCTTTTGTAAAAAAAAAAAGAGTGAAAGTACCCATAAAAAAATCAACTTGTACCACATCGATTAATTACAAGGGGATTAATGGATTTATAAGGCAAGCTCAACATTAATGATTAAAAGAGCCAGCTGGGCCTAGTTGGGTTAGATTTTTGGGCCTAAGTGGCCAACCCCCTTCTCCTCTATACGATGGCCGACCCGTCTCCGAGGCCCCCATAGCCGGAGAATGGGGTGCCAAACGACCGGGTACCAAGCCTGGTACCAAATAAGGGGGCCAAACAAGAGGGTATCAAGCCGACAAGGCAAACCTGATACCCAAGTAAGAAATTTGGCTAAGTATGGAAAACAAGGCGACACAACGGGGTGCCAAACGGCCGGGTACCAAGCTTGGTACCAAATAGCAGGCCATCCAAAAACTAAGTCGACCCATCTCCGAGGCCCCCATAGCCAGACGATGCCTCCAACCCTTAGTATGAAATTTGGCCTACAAAAACTAAGTCTTGGAAACAATGCGACACAACGGGTGCCAAACGCCCGGGTACCAAGCCTGGTACCAAATAAGGGGGCCAAACAAGAGGTTAGCAAGCCAACAAGGCAGGCCTGATACCCAAGTAATAAATTTGGCTAAGTTTGGAAAACAAGGCGACACAACGGGGTGCCAAACGACCGGGTACCAAGCCGGCAAGGAGGGTCTGGTACCAAAGTATATGAGAATTGGCTAAGTATGGAGCCATAGGGGTATCAAGCCGACAGGCTTGGCAGCCAAGCAAGGCAACAGTGTACCATGACCCCAAGGGGGTATCAAGCCGGCGAGAGTGACTTGGTGGCCAGGCAACAGGGGGCCAAGCCAGGTACCAACTAAGAGAGTCATACAGAAACCAAGTCTGGGTATCAAGCCAACAAGACGAACTTGATAACCAAACATCACGGTATCAAGCCAAACAGCCATGGATGGATCGTCCAGGATGAGTTCAGCCCTTATGGGGCTATATGGAAACAAATTCCCAAGACGGGCTTGGTAGCACCTTAACGGGGTACCAAACCAGCAGGGTGCAACTTACCAACTTGACGAGGCTACAAAAACTAAGTATGGAGACCAAGCCACCAGGGCTGGCTTGGTATCAAGGGGTGTCAAGTTGATTACATGGGCTTGGTGGCGTGCCGGAAGGTATCAAGCCGATGAGACGGCTTGGTAACAACCAACATGTTAATGAGGTGGTATTAGTGTCATGAGGTGGTAGCGGTCTCAAGACGACAAGAGTGGGGAGTCATCAAGCTGCCAAGGGTGTGGTCGAGACTTCATCATGGAGGCAAGGTTGAGGGCTTCAATCTCATCCAGTCAAGACAAGGCGACAAGACCAACACGTTGGGCGTCGAGGGCATCAAATACCAACCAGTCAGCAAGACGGGTCAAGGAGCTCCAAGGCAATGGAGGTGAAGACCAAGACAACGGTTACCAATTGGCAACCAAGGCAACGAAAAGGGGTCCCTAAGGCGGTTGGAGCAACAAGCCGGCTAGGAGTTACCATGGCGGTTACCAAGGAAGTTACTCCTAGTGGCTATAAATAGGAGAAACGAAGACGAGAAAAGGGTTCCACAACCAAACATTTGACGCACAATGTCAAAATTTATCTTTTCTCTGCAAATCAGCTTTTAGTTTTTCGGAGCTCTCACTGAACCTCCATAGGAGTAGAGTAACGTAACTTAGATTGTTCCCAAAAAACCATCAAAAACATCAAACACCCTCGTTCGAACATTGTTCGGAGAGGAGTGAGTCGTGTTAGTTTCGTTGTTCATGAAGTCAAAGGTGCATTCATTGTGTTCAAACACCGATTTTTCCTCGCCGGAAAACATCTTCACAATTACTTTTTTTATTCATTAAAAATACACTCACTAGGATTCGAACCATGACCAATTTAAAGAAAACCAAATATCATAACCAATCACACTAAATACAATTGTTGTATCTTTTTAAATTAAAAACATATCATCGCAGAGAGGAAAAAACCCTTCCCCCATTTCAAATTCCCGACTCCGGGAGCGTTTGTAGGAAGGGTGGAATAGGGAGTGTCGATTTTTTTTCTTTTTCCTCTGTGGAACGGGCCAACTTACCGTACACATGCGGATTTACACGGGTCCAGGAGTGTCAATTTTTTTTTTAAGTCGTTTTATTTCTCCGTGGTGGTAAAATATATATGAAAAGGCGAAAACAATACTCCTTTTATTGCTAAAAAGAAAAAATTTTGACAATAAACTAATGCATGGATTCTAATGAGGTAACCGCTATTCATAAAATAAAAGAGTTTAATGGGCCTGACCTACACGGGATTTGCTGATCAAGTAAAACAAATGAACATCATGGGTTTGTCATTCTAAAACAAGCTATTTTCTCTAGCATAATATATATTATGCTATTATTTTATATCTTAGTGGCAAAATATAATGCATTTTAAAGTTATTCAATGGTTCAACCACGACCAACCCAATTAGTCCAATTTTTATCATTTCAAATATATATTATGTAATTATTTGATATCATAGTGATTAAATTATAGTGTATATTATAGGGAATCGTTTGGTATTTGTTAGTAAAAAAACTAAACAAAAAGATCTATTTGGATATTTTTAACATTAAAACGATCCTAAACATTTTCAGTTTCCTTTCAAAATTCTATAGTTTTATTCCCGACCCAGTGATGTGCAAATGGCGAATTACAATCATCTCTTTTCTTTCATTATTTTTTATTTTCAAATAGAAAGTTTAAAAGTAAAGAATAATTAGAGTTTGGCATGGGTCGGTCAAACAGGCTGAATTTCAAGTTTTGCCCCGTTTTGATCAAGTCTAATTTATAATCCCATGGTTCCCTGATACCCGATAAAAATCTCAATCCAAACCAGTTTGGCAGGTGAGTCCGTGTTTACCACCATTTTCTAGGGATACAGGAACGGTGATTCCTATCCCTAATCGTGTTGTTCATTCGTAATTTTTTAAGATTTTATCATGGTTTGGCAAAAAAACCAGATAGCACAATGATGACAAGATAAAAGTTTTATAAGGCAAATTAATCGGCCAACAGGCCGAGTAAAAATAAGCAACGATTGTGAGATGCTCATTTCCCGAAAATCGGCGGGATAGACAATTTTTTATTCGATTTTATGGAATTCGGTTTCTATATAGCTTACTCCACCTCATCATATTACCATAAACAATATTATTTCACAAGGTAACAGGTACTTGATTTTGATTCATTAGGTTGATTTTTTATTCGTTGCATCTTTCATGTCTCTTTTCTACTAAAATTCACTATTTTTATCACGTGTTTCCCAAAAAAACTATACGCCTTCGCTCTGTTCCAGTGGGTGCTGGTCTCGTCCGTCAAGCTGTCTCCCGCCGGCGGCAGGGATGCGGCAAACAAGAATGGGTACAACGACTCTCTGATTGAGGAGGAAGAGGGGGTGAATGACCACAGCGTCGTCGCCAAATGCGCCGAGATTCAGAACGCCATTTCCGAGGGTAAATAGAGCTCTCGCCTCTGTCTTAGATCTCAGCTTTGTGTTGGGTTTATTCAGTTTTGTGAACTGGGTGTTGGTCAGAGTTTTAATTACTGTCAGTGATTAGAGATGGTTTCAGAGCGTTCCCAGTGGCCAAATTTTACTGGGAAGAGCCGTAATTGTTATGTTTAGCTGA